TGCCCAAACTGTAGTTAAGCTTGCTGACTATAGAATTTTTTACAAGTGAAAATAGATAATGAAAAATTGACCGGTGGTTTTATGCAATTTACATATAGCTTGGGTCGAGTGCTTACACGTGTCTAGGAAAATAAACAGACCACATAGGTTTACCTAATTTCAGGGTTAACTCCGTGCAATAGCTTGTTGTGGGTTCCAATCTCCAATTAATTATTGCTTTGGTTGGTCTAATGGCACTTTCACAACTAATAATTCTCCATTTGGGTGGTTTTTTTGCGAACCGCAATTATTTGTCATGGTTGGACTCTAGAATTGTTATGGGAAGGCTAATGGAGCTATGTGGTGCATGGAGTTAACATGCAATTGAGTTGGGATACGACACGTGTGGAGGAAATTGAGGCCAGACACGGTCACACATGTTTATGGAAGTATGCAGAAAATAACTTTGAATGAAATAATAAAAATAGATGTGAAAACAAAAGATTCGTGTTGCTAGCCGACACCATGCTACCAACAGTAATGCTAGGCGACCAAAAAAAGGGACCAACTTGAACGGCCAATGTTAAATTTTTGGAAAAATTTTAATTACACCCTTCTAATTTATTATATTTTCAAGAACACTCTTTCTATTTTCTATATCTTCCTTGACACCTCTTGTCATATTAAAAATATTAACTATAATACAATTTTAATAAATTGCCTATAATATATTTGAGAACAAACTTCATTCATATCCCTTCTAAATAAATATATCTTCAATAAGACTCTCTTTATTTTCTAAATTTTTTTACGTATTAAAATTTAGGTCGATTAAAATTCAATTCGAACTAATTAAAATTTATTTTTTATGTATTAAAATTCGAGTTAATTAAAAATTATATTTTTTATGCATTAAGATTTGAGCCTATTAAAAATCAATCAGGTCAAATCAAATTTTAATCAACTTGAATTGAATTTTAATATATAAAAAATATTAAATTTAATATATAAAAAAATACAAATTTTAATTGGCACTTCGGGTAGAGCTCAAATCGACTCAAATTTTAGTACTTAAAAAAAGAATTTTTATAGGCTTGAATTTTAATATGTTAAAAAAATTTAATCAACTTGAATTAAATTTTAATCAGATCAGATTTTAATATGTAAAAAAATAAATTTTAATCAACTCGAATTTTAATGTGTAAAAAAATAAATATTAATCAATATGAATTTTAATTGAATTTCATGTAAAAAAAATTGATTGAGGTTTATATAAGGGTATTTTTGATATTTTAGATGATTTTTTTTTTTGTTAGAAATGATGGTTTAATAACAAAGAGTGTCAATGATGTTTAAATATAAACTAGAAGGGGTATCAATGATATTTTTAATAATAGAGGGGGTGTCCTAAAAGATATAGTAAAGTAGAAGAGGTGTGACTGAAATTTTCTCTAAAATTTTAAAAAAGCTTTTAATTTTGCTTTCTCAATATTTAAAATGAGTTGTAAACTTTTGGTATAAAAATCAAGTGCCAAATTAAAATATTGTTTAGTCAGTCCAACATTACTCTAATTTTAATCATCGCGTGGGATGTGAGAGAAAAGTTCTAGAAAAAAAGATAAGTGCGTGGTAAAAATTAGAAAAACGAACACTGTTGGGAGACCAAGAGACATCTTCTTCTCCCTTAATCTGTATTGATGGATTTTCTTTTGTTCTTCACATCATTGTTTTGGCCTCTAAAGGTCAAGCAGCCACACTAATACATGCTGTTTGTTTATGGGTTGTTGGCAATTTGATAAGTCAATAAAATAGTACAGATGTGCATCTTCGTCGGTGGAAGACAGCACTTTTCTCGGTGGATTATCACCAAATTCCATAAGACCGAATTTTGCATTTGTCTGATTTTTAGGTCTTCAACACTGAATTAAGAAGCTTCTATTGGTGGAACCTTAAAAAAGACAACGTTTTCCTTCAAAATATCCCATGGTGGAACACTTAGTGTATATGGATAGAGATCCACTTCCTGAATTGTTGATATGTAATATACTCTTGAAGAAATTTGATGAGAATGAGATTCTTTTTAATACATTTTCTCTTTATTTTTTTGGTAGCTAAGTAGGATACATTGTATATAACTGAGTCCCTCACTTTATCAACGGTAGACAATCTGCTGAGACAAAAAAAGGGAAAAAAAAAAAATATTGGCAAAGATCTATATCCATAAAAAATATATTGAATAGAATCTCACTGAAAAACAAAAACCGATATGATTGATTTTTTACATGGTCTCACCACTAATATATGCTGCCTAAGTTGTGGTTGATGCAGCAAACATACGCTGTGTGTATTGCTAAACTTGAACTTGGCTGATGCTGTGTATTCAACAACAATCCTATAGCTTGGTACCATCAGGGCTTCTTTGGTTGCGGGATAAAAATGGGGACAATCAAATCCAATTCCCCACACTAGGATAATGGCTATAGGGATGACATTTTACGTATTGATGGTTAATATCATATTTGATTCGAGACTAGATTCAGGATGGATTAATTTTTTCCTATCCAATGCAAATTAAGGGAATCCGTGTTAATGCAAAAGTTAATTAACTAAACAATCAAAATACTATCAAAGTAATTAATCCAATANGTCTGATTTTAATCATCGCGTGGGATGTGAGAGAAAAGTTCTAGAAAAAAGATAAGTGCGTGGTAAAAATTAGAAAAACGAACACTGTTGGGAGACCAAGAGACATCTTCTTCTCCCTTAATCTGTATTGATGGATTTTCTTTTGTTCTTCACATCATTGTTTTGGCCTCTAAAGGTCAAGCAGCCACACTAATACATGCTGTTTGTTTATGGGTTGTTGGCAATTTGATAAGTCAATAAAATAGTACAGATGTGCATCTTCGTCGGTGGAAGACAGCACTTTTCTCGGTGGATTATCACCAAATTCCATAAGACCGAATTTTGCATTTGTCTGATTTTTAGGTCTTCAACACTGAATTAAGAAGCTTCTATTGGTGGAACCTTAAAAAAGACAACGTTTTCCTTCAAAATATCCCATGGTGGAACACTTAGTGTATATGGATAGAGATCCACTTCCTGAATTGTTGATATGTAATATACTCTTGAAGAAATTTGATGAGAATGAGATTCTTTTTAATACATTTTCTCTTTATTTTTTTGGTAGCTAAGTAGGATACATTGTATATAACTGAGTCCCTCACTTTATCAACGGTAGACAATCTGCTGAGACAAAAAAAGGGAAAAAAAAAAAATATTGGCAAAGATCTATATCCATAAAAAATATATTGAATAGAATCTCACTGAAAAACAAAAACCGATATGATTGATTTTTTACATGGTCTCACCACTAATATATGCTGCCTAAGTTGTGGTTGATGCAGCAAACATACGCTGTGTGTATTGCTAAACTTGAACTTGGCTGATGCTGTGTATTCAACAACAATCCTATAGCTTGGTACCATCAGGGCTTCTTTGGTTGCGGGATAAAAATGGGGACAATCAAATCCAATTCCCCACACTAGGATAATGGCTATAGGGATGACATTTTACGTATTGATGGTTAATATCATATTTGATTCGAGACTAGATTCAGGATGGATTAATTTTTTCCTATCCAATGCAAATTAAGGGAATCCGTGTTAATGCAAAAGTTAATTAACTAAACAATCAAAATACTATCAAAGTAATTAATCCAATACAATCACGCGTTTGTCAATGAAAATGATCTGATGGATTGGAGCAAAATAAACATACATATTTTTTCTTTTCTAAAGTAAAACCCAAAATAATTTATTTTTCCTTTTATAGAGGAAAAATAAAGACAAAAGGAAGAAGAAACAAGATGGAATTCGAGTAGAACACCATGACCACTGAATAGAGACTTCCACCAATTGGACTAAAAGACACCTTAATTAGTTTCAACCTCTCTCCTACCAACTTTTTTGATTAAAAATTTCTTGAAGAAAGTGTTATCAAACTGTACAATTAGCATTGAAGTTCACTTCATCAAAATGAGACAGTAATCTAGATGCCCTTCATCTTACATCTAGGACTCGTAAAAAAAATCTTTCCATAACAACATTTTCTGTAGGTAATTGTATCATTGATTGCCAATAGACCCCACTCATTACCACCAACAGACCTCATTCCAACATCAATCAAGCTAATCAACATTTATTGGGTGATTTATAATAAGTTCATCTTGCATGTAAAGTTCTGTCCATGGAACTTTTTTTTTTAGTTTCCAGTACTTTGCTGTTTACCATACGAAAGAAATCCAAATAACCCTTCTTCTTTTTTTTCGTGTATAACTATATATTCAGCCCAGGGGAAATAGCTACTTTGGTGCGATTTAGAAATTCGAATATAAAATTGCAGGGCAGGAGATGTCAATAAATCATGTCATGTTTAAGTCATATAATGTTAAAATTGATTCATATCACATATATTCCTTTTATAACAATGTATATTAGGTTCGTGTTACATCAAGCATTAGTCGTGTATTATTAATATGATATTCCTAAATTAGATGATTGTTGCAGTTTAATTCAGTTATTATCTGATTCAGTTATGCTAAGCTCATATCCGGTAGCTTTTTTTGCCTTGATTTCGTGTTATTTTTGCGATTCTCTCTCTCTCTTGTCTTTGTGTGTGTGTCTCTCTCTCTCTCCTTCTTGATATGTAATATATATTATAATTACCACAAATACATGCGTATGCATTTTCAGGAAAAAGACCATACATTCATACGCATGCCTAGATATATGTGGTTGTATGTGCATGTCAAAGTTAGGATATCCTGATTAGGGTTATGTGCGTGGTGTAGATTTGCCAATTCAACGCTACCAGTGTGGACCATAATTATAGACAGTTTAGTCTCAATATAGTAGGGTTGTCTTAGTGGGTGACGTGGAAAGTTGAAAATCCATTGTATCTGTTGATTGTGGTTATATATAAGAGCCAACTCAGAGTGTTTATCAGGAATACATTATTAGGTTGATGGCCTCTCCAACTGGCTTCATCCCCGTTAGGTTTCTTCTTTCTGCTTCTCTTTTTCTCTTACTGCTTCCCAGTTCTTTAAAAAAGGGTTATGCTTTGAAAAGGATAGAGACTTCAGAAAGCCGTCACCATACTGTTCAAGTCAGTTCTCTACTGCCAGCTTCACTTTGCAACCCCACCACCAAAGGTCATTCACATAGCTTTACTCTCTCTCTCTCTCTCTCTCTCTCTCTCTCTCTCTCTCACTCTCTCTCTTTTTGTGTGTGTATCTCTCTCTCCTTCTTGTTATGTCAGTGTAGCATTACTGCTACCACAAATGCATGCGCATGCATTTTCAGGAAAAAGACAATACATTCATACGCATGCCTACAATTCTAAGTAAGGCTCATTCATGGTTACCTTTCTTAGATATTGCGAGCTTAAGTGGAAAAAGGGCTTGTATGCCCACTTTATCATCTTTTGTTTCTGTCCTAAACTCATCATTGCTTTCAATGTGTTTGGTCGAGTTTGTGTTGTGTCTCTCATATCATACTTGTTTAACCATATCTAATCTAATAACTTACATGAATATAACATAATTTGTATTGTGTTTAATCAAATTTGTATTTGACTAAAGTTTGACTGATCCATTTATTTACCTCCTGAGCCCATTAATACTAAACTCAAATCTACCAATTCTACGCGGATCTTGTGTTTTATTTACCAACTGTTTCTAAAAGTGTCAGACCTAATTGGACATACAAAAGGTTCCACAAGGCTATGACCACCGGAACCGTGAAGTAGTTTTTGTCACCTTCATTGCTTTTTCAGCACAACATGTAGACTAGGCTAATTAGATTGAGTATTTACTGTAAAGAGTAACTAAACTGCCCTGGTATGGCTTGATCCTCCATTGATATGGAAGTAATGGTCTAGGTATTGTAGGATATTAATTGGAGAAATTGCAACCTTAAAATATGCCCCTTGTACGACTCTTTACGGGTCATATCACGCATGAACATCTTATATAGTCCTAATTTAACTACAACCATTGTTGTATCTATGTAGTACAATAAGATGACTGTTTTATCTTGATAATTACATGATGCATGTGGAAAGAAGATGGTATGTACACATAATAAGAGGATGAGACAGGTGTTCTGAGAGGCTCGGATACCTCCAAATTAGATAAAATAAATTAATTGGATTGGATTACTGCATATTTCTGCATCAAATTGTGCCATAATTCTAAAATGGAAGAGGGGAAATAATAAAGAAAGCTCCCAAGAGTCCGAGTCCGATGACTCTCATTCAGAATCTTAATTGCATTCTTTGACCCAATAATGGTTTTGGTGAGGGGTCGTTTTAATATGGAGGTGAAGAAATAATAAAGACTTTCCATATAGATATAATATATATTATGGTAGGTTGATGCCCATGACTCCTGAATCCCACTAACAGCTCATGAGTTAGAGCTTTGCCTATGTTATAGAACCTATACAAGCTTGGGCCATCTAATCCTCTTTCCAAACTTGATACATCGTCGCATATAAAACAATTAGATCTGATTTGTGTTTAAAGATACGGTGTAATATGAACGATTTTGATAGGGATATTAGTGACCATTAGAGAAGTTTATTTGAAATCGTCTATCTTATTTTATATTATAAATCGTTTTCAAACAAAAAAAAGTGGGAAGTAACTTGTGGACCCTAAACAAAAATTGGAGAGAGACAAGGAAACCACTCGGTGAGGGAACAACTCTCCACCATACATGACATGGTGGAGCACCAACTACTTGTTTTCTTTGCCTCTCTCATATGCAATATCTAGAGTGTTGTCCAAAGTCTTTCAAACATTATCGAGTGCATTACAGCTGTGTAGGGCATGAAGCGAACTGTATCACAAAAAGAACGGCAACGAAAAACTAATGGCTTGTCATTATTCATTACAAAGATTTCAAAAATTTTACAAGTTACTGATCAGCTGCCTATTGAAATTGAAGAAATTGAAAATTTGAGAATTTAATGAATTGTAACTTTTAGATTAAAAGTACGTACAGTTATTGAATCAAGTTCTCTATCAATACAGTCTATTTGCTCGATGAATAATCCTATTGAATGAAGATAGTTCTGCATTCCCCCCATGGAGTGAATAATAACAAATTGTACATGGTTATATATGTTTGCATGGCTTCAGCATCTGGGTTCATGAATTCCAACTGACATCAATTAGAAACCTGTCAATTTTTGACACGAGCACAATTATATGATGAGAAATTAGCGGGAATTAGAGTTGATTAATCCTTAACTCAAACTTGAATATGAGACGCCTCATTGTTTGACATGTGGATATATAAGCTCTCTTTTATAGGCATAATCAAATAAATTAGAGGATATATCTTCCCATCCCAATATGGCATTTTGAATTGCTACTATATGAACGTGTTATCATATTTAATTACATGATTATCCATACGTTCATCAGGTTCCAACAAGAAGTCATCACTGAAAGTTGTTCACAGAAATGGACCATGCTCTCAACTGAGTCAAGACAAGGCCAATACTCCAACTCTCACTCAGATCCTTTATCATGACCAGTCTCGAGTCAACTCAATTCACTCCCGACTCGCCTTCAACTCGGGCAAAACCAGTCTCCAGGACTCCCAAGCCACCATCCCAGCACAATCCGGCAGCATGCTGGGCTCCGGCAACTACATCGTCACTGTCGGACTAGGGTCCCCAAAGAGAGACCTCTCCCTCATCTTCGATACCGGCAGCGACCTCACATGGACTCAGTGCCAGCCATGTGTAAAGTAAACTACTCTAGTACATAATTATCTTTGATTAAGAATTACAGTCCTATTCTAATTGTAGTGGGTGAGTCACCCCGTTATGACGTGGAATTATATTCCTTGTATCGACACTATTCAATCAAATTCAATTATCGAAATTATTATAAAATTGTACAAATTTTTTCAGGTACTGCTACAAACAGCGAGAACCCACTTTTGATCCATCGAAGTCCACCACATATTCAAACATCAGCTGTAACTCGGCATCGTGTTCCCAACTCAGTTCCGCCACCGGCAACTCGCCGGGGTGCTCCACCTCCACCTGCATTTACGGCATACAGTACGGAGATTCGTCTTTCTCCGTCGGGTACTTCGGGCAAGAGAAACTCACCTTAACGTCCACCGACGTATTTGATAACTTCCAGTTCGGTTGTGGCCAAAACAACCGCGGACTCTTCGGAGGCACCGCCGGTTTGCTCGGGCTAGGCCGTGACCAACTATCCATTGTCTCACAAACTGCTAAAACGTATGGAAAATACTTCTCATACTGTCTTCCATCGAAGACGAGCTCTACCGGACACTTAACATTCGGGAAAAATGGAGTTCCGAGCACCGTGAAATTCACACCACTGTCAGTAAACTCACAAGGCCCATCATTTTACTTTATCGATATTACAGGAATCAGTGTTGGAGGGCGTCAACTGTCCATCAGTTCGTCGGTGTTCAAGACCGCCGGCACCATTATAGACTCTGGAACAGTCATAACTCGGCTACCTCCAGCGGCTTACAAAGCTTTGAGAACAACTTTCCGGCAACAGATGACAAAGTACCCAATGGCACAACCCGTTTCGATACTCGATACTTGCTATGATTTAAGCAACTACTCCACAGTTACGATACCAAAGATAAGCTTCTTCTTTAGTGGCAATCTGAAGACTGACATCGACTTGTCGGGGACACTTTATGTGGTGAGTGCGTCGCAGATCTGCTTGCCTTTCGCCGGAAACAGTGACGCCGCCGATGTGGGTATTTTCGGGAATGTTCAGCAGAAGACGTTGGACGTGGTTTACGATGTCGCTGGAGGGAAGCTAGGGTTTGGTCCTGGTGGGTGTGATTAAACTGAGCTAATGGAAATGGAAAAACTTTAAAAATAGATCTCAGGGGTAACCGGGCTTGATTAGGGTCAATGGGGTTGTGTATCCATACCATTTACAAAAGCAGGGTATGGAAAATAATGTAAGCTGAAAAAGTTCATTCAGTGGTCATGTATACTAGCAAAAGAAAGTTTGCAAGAATATGCTCAACTTTTATTACTAGCATGCTTTTCTTTCGGATAATTGAGATTGAAGATTTTGACCTTGCTCTCATGTTGGAGGGAAAGACTCTTCAATGATTAATTTTTGGTACCGTGACAAAATTTTTGGATAAAAATAATGAGATAAAGACTTTATTTGCAAGACGTACGAGTCAGTAATTCGACAGACAAGGAGCAATCTTTTAACTTAGATTGGAATAGAAGTTTATGGGCAATGATTATTGAAATAATTTAGAGAGGAGCCTATAAAATTGGAGTATTTTTGTAGTGAACATTGTTATAATAAGATGAGTTTTTCAAATCTTTTTCGTAGTCCATCCTGTATCCCCATGCTCCATCATTGCATATACCCATTAATAAGGATCAAGACAAAATCAATTTACAGGAGAATCCACTGCCTTAATTACCGACCTTGATCGTAGAACATGTAACCTTGATCATAGGCCTTGATTATAGGACATAAGAGATGTTGTAATTATTCTTGTAAATACCATTGTAATATGCACTATAAATATAATGCCACAGATAACTGTCTCTCATATATTTGAGGACAGAGACATACATAGTCTTCTTCATGGTATCATAGCCTCGGTTAAGATAGCAGAATTCTACCCTTAAGCATCCCTTCAACTTTGATTCTTCATCTGCTCTGAAATATGTCAACCACCTCTGATTCTTCATCTGTTTCTGCTGATTCTGTTGCATACCATTACCAGTGACACCAGATGTCACTAACTTGTGTCATTGCGTGTTACATCCAGCAACTATTTGTTGTGGAAAACCCAAATGTTGAATATCCTTGAAAGTTCTGACCTTCAAGGTTTTGTTACAAGAGAGACCAAAGCACCTCCACCTCTTACCAACAACAAGACTCCTAATCCAACTTATCTTCTGTGGAGTGTTGGGAATCGTTTACATATTGTGGAAACATAGGACCAAAAACATATTTTGTTCGTTTTAATCCTAAAAATCATTTGAGGATATTCCACATGTTTTAGAATTTGAATTTTTTTTTTCTTTGATTGCTCGAGCAGGTATAATGTTATTACACAATAGGAATCAAGACCAAGTTTTTACAACACAAAAGCCTTGAACGTTATGTAGGGAGAGAGAGAAATAGAGTAGAAGACTTTAACGTTTGAGTATTTTTCAAAGATGTCATATATTAGATTGTCTTGGGTTTATATAGGCAACCAATAGGTGTCTTTAACAGACACATCTTGTAGGGACACATCTGTTAATATTTAACATACATATATTTTGGGTAAAGGATACCTCCAAAATACATGCCTCTTTGGGCATTCTTTAATTTGGGTCAACCCACTATGGGCGCCCCCGTTCGGGTCCATGACCCAAATAATATCTAACATCTCCAACTCGCACGTGATGGATATGACATTGTCATCTCTCTCAATCCATTATACACATCAACATCAATTCATTCAGGCTAATGAGTTGTGCGACCGCTGAGCACACCTACAATTTGGCAGCTTTACACTAAAGACTCTACAAATTCAGAATAGAGACATCAACCCTAAAAAAATTGAAAATAGTGTTTCAAGTACTCTAGACCCATTTAGATACACCGGTTCAAGCATCTCTAATTCCTCACAATATAAGAGCATGCATCTCTAGTATTACTGCATGATCCTCCTTTTAATTAATTTTTTGCCTACTGAAGGTTTATCTGTTGATGGAACTAATGGTCTAGGTGATGGGGTATACAAATGGAGAAATGGCAAAGTCAAAAATACGCAACCTTATAAACTCTACATAGACTACATGGTTCATAACACTTATGAACATCTTCTAATTTAGCTTCAATTTTTTGTTGTATCGCTTTAGTTCCACAGGATGATTGATTTATTCTGATAATTCCATGATGCACGTAGAATCGGGGATGATATGTATTTGAACCTAGAATATGATGAGGGTTGTCTAAGAGGCCTGGACCTCCTACTTGGAAAGACCACAAAAAAATAAAAAAATTTGCTAATTTCTTCATATGTAATTGTTCTAACACTAAACTTTCAATAGAAAAGTAACGCTACACCTTTCATTTGCAAATGAATAAAATTATCAGGAGAAAATTGGGCAAAATTTTCTTATACGATTATAAGTTGTCTGTTCGATTTCTTGTATGTGATCTTTACTATTAGCCTATGTTTCTTGAAAGATAATAAATTCAATACAAACTCATAGTTATCCAAGTAAAATATTTTCTACGAACACATCCCTGTTAACAACACCGAGTTAGCTTAGATGGCCAATACTCTTGAATAGGCGTGACAATGAGTTTGATCTCGATAAATCTGAGTCCGATTAGTCTGATTCAGGATCTTGCATCCTTTCTGTAATGGTCACAACAAAAATCCAAATGGCAATTGACAAAATAATTGTTTTGATAAGGAATCGTTTTAATATGGAAGTAGAGAAATAATGAAGAAATTGGACTCTCAGTAAATATGGTGAAGAAGTTTGTAATATGAGAGATATATTGAAAATAAGAAAAAGAAAGGAAAATGGAGCACAAGCATTTATGTGGTTCAACATATTTTGCTTAAATCCACGGATCAAATCCCCCAAAGGCTGCATGTATGTATATTTTATGATGGTTATATGTATAGGACTCAATCCTATTTATAGGGTGAATAAAGTTAAATACATTTGTTGGAAATCATATACATATTGAGGAAGTATAAAATTAAATATATACCTTAATTCGCTTTAATCCGTAATTATTGAAGGATATTCTACGTTCTTTGAATCCAAAATTCGTTTTTTTTATTGCTCGAGCAGCATGATGTTGTTATATAAGACAAATCATCACCATATTTTTGCAACATAAAAACCTTTGTTCAAAGTTATGTAAGGAGAGAGAAAGAGGGTAGGGAACTTTTAACATTCGGAATTATCTAATATGACTATTGGGTGATAAAAAATGCTTTCAAGAGTCATGTCCCATTAGTATTCTCTAATTGTGTATGACGGGTTATTTAGATATTTAATTGATATTATGTCATTAAATATATAATGATATAGTTATCTTAGTGTTTTCGAAATTATATGAAGTCAGTATGCAAACAGCAAATCCGTGGGTATTTGAACCAGAGTATCCAAGAAAAAGCAGAAAATTTGATGAAAGAACGGGGAATCCTTTTGAACAACCTGATATAATAGGAAAGCCTTATATCTTGAAATTAATTCATCAAATTGATGATAAAATCTATGGACGTTCCAATGGACATTATGCACTTGTTACACAACAACCCTTAGAGGAAGAGCCAAGCAAGGGAGACAATATCTATATATATAGATATAAATTAGATGTGGAATTCTGAGAAAAGTAAGATTCAACAACATGAAATACATCATCAATCCTTATCTAGTGGGATATTGATAGATTTTACCATATACTACGAAGATAAAAATCATTCATCCTCATCCTCGCTACTTATACCGACCAGATAATAGATTTCTTTGGATCCTATTACTATCTTTGTCATATAAGTAACGTTTGATTTCAAATTGATATAAAATACAACTTTCAATAGGAAACTTAGCAGTACTTTCTTGAAATAATCTAAGTTGTCTGTTTGATTTCTTATCTATGATTCTTTACAAGGGTTTTATCAAACAGATGGCAATCCAAGTAAAATCTGCTTATGCAAACACATCCCTTTGACCGCTATAAGTTAGATCGATGGTTACGACTCGTGAATCTCATGCCTGTGTTTGAGTTTTGTGTTTGTGATAAAACTAGTACATGCATATGCTTCTTAGAATACTTAAAGTGCTTCTTAGAATACTTAAACGTGATCGCTAAATGCTGTTTAGCGGCTTCTATCCCTTTTTTCCTTCGAAAACCAATTGCTCTTATTGTGAGGAATACACTTGATACACGGTTGTAAAAATTGAGGACTAAATAAGACACATGTCACCAGATAAGATAAAGTCAATAAATTAAGGTACAAAAAATATTTCCTTTTGAGATTTATTTATCCACAATAATTTTAAATTTATTTACCAAATTGTCATTGCTTTTACAAAAAAATGTGTTTTAAAAAATACACTTTTCAATGCAAAAGAGTGTTTTGAAAACACGTTTTCAGTGATTTTTTTTTTTTTAAAAGTGTTGCAAAACATACTTTTTTTTTTTATTTATAAAACAACAATAGTTTGATAGATACGTTTCAAACTAAGATATTTTAATAAATAAATTTGAAAACAATGATAATTGATTAATTAATTCCACAATATTGAGGATGAAGTCATGCGTGTGTCATAATACTTTAAGGAAAAGTCATGCTTTTAGCCAGCATAACTCCACTGAAGTCATATGTGCCACTCAAGACGATTTGAAAATAACAATATTATGATTATCAAATTATTTATTAAATTTTATATTCTAAATTATTATTTGTGGTTAAATTAGTAGGGTCTATTAAATTTCATCATACATTAAATATATAAGATTTTGTCATATCATTTAAAATATAATATTCAATAAAAAAATTTAAAAAATATAATTTTATCTTCTTAAAATTAAGTTTAAAGACGCATATAAAGTAAATTTGTCCTAGCAATTTTATCCTTGATGTGACCCCATGCTTATGCACGAAATTTTGTACTTGCCTCATTTCATTTTTATTTATAAATTTTATGAATACAAAAATACCTAATTTAAACAATAATTATTAAAAAAAACTAACCAGAAATAGAGTAAACTGTGTATATAGGAATTTGAAGAAGTAGTGAAACGCCTTTTAATGGAAGTGGGGCTAGTGGTTATCTTTTTTTTTAACATTTCAGATTGTTATTGAATTCCTACCATATGAATGGTTTATCATATATATACTTAGTCATCTATTATTGATCAGGTCCCAAGAAGAAGTCATCACTTAAAGTTGTTCACAGACATGGTCCATGTTCGCAACTAAATCAAGATAAGGCCAATACTCCAACTCTCACTCAGATTCTTTCTGATGATCAATCTCGAGTCAACTCAATTCATGCCCAACTCACCCTCAACTCGGGCAAAATTAATCTCCGACACTCAAAAGCCACTCTCCCATCACAATCCGGCAGCGTACTCGGGTCCCCCAACTACATCGTTACCGTTGGACTGGGGTCCCCAAAGAAAGACTTGTCCCTCATCTTCGACACTGGTAGTGATCTCACCTGGANGCACAATCCGGCAGCGTACTCGGGTCCCTCAACTACATCGTTACCGTTGGACTGAGGTCCCCAAAGAAAGACTTGTCCCTCATCTTCGACACTGGTAGTGATCTCACCTGGACTCAGTGCCAACCATGTGTAGGGTAAATATTCTTTAGAACAGTATTTATTATTTAAGCAGTTTTACAAGTTCGATGATTGGAATTTAAATAAAAGTGTACAAAATCTTCCGGGCACTGCTATAAACAAGAAGAACCCATTTTTGACCCATCAAAGTCCACCACATATTCCAACATCACCTGTAAGTCGGCGCTGTGTTCCCAACTCAGGTCCGCCCCCGGCATCTCACCCGGTTGCTCCACCTCCACCTGCATTTATGCCACACAGTACGGCGATAAGTCATTCTCCATCGGGTACTTCGGACAAGAGAAGCTCACCTTAACGTCCAACGACGTGTTTAATAGCTTCCTATTCGGTTGTGGCCAAAACAACCGCGGCCTTTTCCGCGGTTCCGCCGGCTTGCTTGGTCTTGGTAGGGGAAAACTATCCATTGTATCACAAACTGCTCAAAAGTATGGCAAGTACTTCTCCTACTGTCTTCCATCGTCGTCAAGCTCCACCGGACACTTAACGTTTGGAAAGAATCGAGTTTCGAGCACCGTGAAATTCATACCACTGTCAATAAACTCACAAGGCCCATCATTTTACTTCATTGATATTACAGGAATAAGTGTCGGTGGACGTCAACTATCGATCAGTTCATCAGTGTTCAAGACCGCTGGAACCATTATAGACTCCGGAACAGTCATAACTCGTCTACCTCCGGCGGCTTACAAAGCCTTGAGAACAACTTTTCGGCGACAGATGACACAATACCCAATGGCACAACCCACTTCGGTACTAGATACTTGCTATGACTTGAGCAGTTATTCAACTGTGACGATTCCAACGATAGGCTTCTTCTTCAATGGCAATACATATATTGACATAGATGCGTCGGGGATTCTTGCTGGGTCGAGTGCATCGCAGTTCTGCTTGGCTTTCGCCGGAAACAGTAATGCCTCTGATGTGGGCATTTTCGGGAGTGTTCAGCAGGGGACGTTGGACGTGGTGTACGATGTAGCCGGAGGGAAACTAGGGTTTGGCCTAGGTGGGTGTGCTTAAACTGAGTTTATGGAAAAAACAAAACCTTTAAAATAGCTCCTAAATGTAACAAACAAGGCTTGATATATTTAGGCTTAAAGGGTTCGTCTATCCATTTGCGAAAGCAAGGGATACAAAATAATGTAAGCTGAAAAAGTTCAGAAAATGTAATGTCTACTAGCAAAATAAAGAGTGAAAGAATATGTATAAATTCTTAGCTCATCCTTTATTACTTGCATGCATGGTTTTCATATGAATAACGGAGGTCAATTTTGGATCTTCCTATCATTTTATAAGGAAAGAATAAAAATAGGAGAAATTTGGAGGCTGTTCCATATTTTAGGACTTATTCGGCTTTTTGTCCAATCTCAAAATTGTGTTGGTTTTGGAGACATTTGTGTAACAATTGTCCAAAATATCCCAAACTCATTCTTTCCCTCAAAAGAAACGTAATACAAGTAAGTTTTGTTGAAACTTGACCTGATACATAACTTAAAAACAGTAACATTTAAAATCAAAAACAATAAAATTGAACATAATAACAACATAAAACAGTAACATGAAAATAATGGTAATAAAAATAGTAACATTTAAAACAAAAGACAACAACATTAAACATAAATAGGGACCTAAATAGTAACGTCAGCATAATAGTGATAAAAAAATGATAACATGTAAAATCAATTGTTGTTAATTTGTGAATGTTACATAATTTGAGTGTTACTATGTGATGTTACTAATTGATTCTACTATATGTGTGTTGAACATCATCTGAGTGTTACTAATTGATGTTACCATATGTGTGTTTCGCTATTTTCTTTCTCTCACTTTCATGTCCTCTCTCCAGATCCCAATGGTTTCTCTGTCCATTTGTTAGAAAAGCCATGCAAGCTCATTTTAGCATTTCGTCGAATAATTAAAGCTATTATTAAACCAAAATAAACCTTTAAATTTGAACCAATCTGCAACACGAAATGCCACAAATAAATCCAATAGAAACCAGCAAGAAATTATTCAAACCACCATTCAAAAAATTATTTATTCAGAACGCAACTCGAAAATTTTAAAAAATTTGGATCAAAATGAGTGCTTCAAAATTCTGACCAAAGTTCTCTTATTCCTTGTTGGATACCTTATCTGTATGATCATGATATTGGTATGAGTGGTGTAGCCTTGATCATATTGTTCAGTTGTGTCTCATTGTTCATTAGCTTTATATTTATGCACAAGGATGTAAATTTATGCTTGAAAATTAAATGATTTGATTGGGTGATTGTCTTAACATTCTCGGTATGACTTTTTGATTGATGAAATGGAGAGGGCTAACATTCCGGTGATGTCCTAGGGTTTCAATACGATCCATAAACTACACGTAATGAAGAAGGATAAAAGAGTAATAAAAAAAGAAAAAGTGTACTTAAACGCATAAAAGTTGTTGGCAGAGTATACTTCAAGTCAAATAAGTTTAAGACTTATACTTAAATCCTTAAAAATCTCCCATATTGGATTAGCCTCCAATTTTATGTGAAAATAGTTTCATTGATGAAAAATTTGGTTATACAATACAGGATAGGCCCACAGTCTTATGAGTCATACTATTCTACACAACAAAGAAAAAAGTTCCTTGGCCTCTCCTATCCATCTGGCCGGCCATTGAGCGACAACTTCACAACAAAGAGTGATATGTAAGGCCTTTTTCTATTAAAGCAACAAGCATGTGCTCCAAATACATCATAGACCGCAACCCACCATGTTTGTGTATTTGAACACAATCCTAGTCTAGAAGGGAATAATGTCATGATCAAGAATTTGATAACTACCACCCTCACCATCCGAGAGGCCATGGTACATTTAGGGCGGCTCAACAGTGTTGTTAAAAAAACCTTAGATTTTAGACCTCACTTTTTGAGAAAATTTTACATTTTTAGATATCATAAATAGTTCATGTAAAAAAAAATTAAATGCATAAATATTTTAAATCATATAAAAAAATTTATAAAAACACACTCCCAATCAAAAGCAAAAAAAAAATTAAGGCCTCACTTCAAGGAATGCTTTATAATTTATAGGCGTGAAGTAATAGTTCAAACAAAAAATTTTAAATTCATGCCCAAACAAAAGATTTCAACTTAAGTAGATTGAACCTATTAATTCTACCCAAAATTAAAGAGGCCCAAAAATTTATTTATTTTTGAAAAAAGGGAAAAAAAACTAACAATAAAATTAAAACTACTAAAAATCTAGTCTTAACCCCCAAAAAAGGTAAGTTTAAATTTACCACAATAATTTTTCAGTAATTTTTTCTCTTTCTTACCATCAAGTTCAAATATGATAACAAAAATTTCAATATAAAAATTTAATTAATATTTTTGCATTTAAAAAATTAAAAATTAAATTTATTGTTAATATTAAAAATAAAAAAGCCTCATTTATTGTTTGAGATAATGAGATGTGAGTACCTTTTTTAAAACTTATTTGGCTTTAAGTATCATCTCCAAACTTATCCTCTTTTAAGTCCTTATTTTCATCAAATAGTTGTCAATAAGTACACATTTTAAAATATTTTAAAATTATTTTTTAAAATATATTCCATAATTGCCCTAACCATAAATAGTGCATACCGACTTGAATGTGAGATTTTCAAGATTATTTTTAATATTTGTGTATTATTTGAATTTTGAAATTTCATATATATATATATATATATATATATATATATATAAACACACATATGTATATATATATATATACACACACATATATATATGCACACACACACACATATATATGCACACACACACACACACACACGTAAATACAGTGACATCAAATAGTGACACGCTCAACAAAAATATTTGTGATACTATTTGATGTTACTATTTTTTTGTTGAGTGTGTTACTGTTTGATGTTACTATTTTTTTGTTGAGTGTGACTGTTTGATGTTACTTTTTTTTTTGTTGAGTGTGACTGTTTGATGTTACTTTTTTTTTTTGTTGATCGTGTCACTGTTTGATGTTACTCTTTTTTTATTGAGTGTGTCACTGTTTGATGTCAATGTATTTACGTGTGTGTGTTTATATATATGAAATTTTAAAATTCAAATGATACACAAATATCAAAAGGAATCTTGAAAGTCTCACATTCTAATATTGAAAGTCTTTTATTCAATTAGATATACATTATTTATGGTAGGGGTAAAATGACTTTTATGACTTTTTTTTAGCACATGTACTTCTATCCCAATTATTTTAAAAAGTGTACTTTTATCCTATTAAATTATTTAGGAGGTACCAGCCTCTTTAAACCCCTTATTGTTTTTGCTTTAGGCCCTAAAATGTCTCGGGTCATCCCTGGGTACATCGATATCAATAAAATTTGAAAGTAAGGCAACTTACTTTCTACACGCTGAGGGGGTCGACCAAACCTTAATGGTCCTAAGGGGGCTCATTTTCATACACTATGGTTGTTCCATTTTTCTTTTTTTTTTTTGGCGAGAGAATTTCAAGTATTTGCTTAAAAAAGCAAGTCATACTCTCTTTTTCCTGAGACGTATCATATTATAAGTTAATATTGACATGATAACGATTCAACTCGATAATGTGACTCTAAAATAAGCTTGATTGGAATCAATAAATGCCAATTTACTAGGATCAATCCTAACAAGTTCTAGTGATGATGGATCTATATTGTCTAATGTTTTGTATTTCTATCTACTAACTTTCTTTCATTGCACTTGTTATTGTATTCATTGGTTCAACTTCCTCTTGAAGAAGGATGGTGTATCTTCCAACAATATAGACGAACCACCATCCTTTATCCCCTTTTGATTTTCTTTTGTCCACACTTGTATCTACATGGTATATACTATTTTCTTTTCAGTTTATTAAATATTTATTACTTATTGGGAAACAAATAGAACAATTCGAGCGGTTTGTTTGCATAACTCAACACCTCTTTCATCTCCGACTTTATTGGAGGAGAACCCATTGGAAGCCTTCCACTTACCTTCTCAATGGGAAACAAGGGAGGAATTAGTTGTTAAGAAGCTTTGTCAACAAATTCCCAATCGAGTATCTCTAGATTGATAACATGGACAATAAGGGTGGCACTCAGCACATGTATGAGTGGATTGAAGCCCTCCTAGCTCCTTTATTCTTTGTCAAAGGATCCACCTTTGAGTATGACTGAGCTACTCTTTAGAGCGCAGAGTCATATGAATGTTGAAGATACACTCAATGCCCGTTGAAAACAAGGACGATAGGTAGGAGGAAAGGAAGAAGTCCTAGTTGCCTAGGCAAACTGACAAGGCTGCCATCCAAAAGAAAGGCCAACCTGAGAGAGTGAATTACAGGAATTGCCCAGGCCCCAGGGGGTTGGGCGAGCTCCCTCACATATATACCCACAAAATACCCCTATATACTAGATTCTTTATCAAATTCAAGATGATCGAGTCTTGAAATGGCCGGCCAAGATGCAAATTCACCCCAACAGGAGGTCAAGAGACCTGCATTGTAGGTTTCATCGATTTTATGGGAACAACACTGAAGTTTACACGACCCTTAAGGATTAGATAGATGACCTCATTCAGAGAGGGCACCTCAAATTGTTAAGATAAGGCACCATGAGAGAATGGACATGCAGCCGCATAGGGAGGAGACAGAGCACTAGGAACCGATAGGTAAAGTAAAGGTGATCTCAAGAGTATTTACTAGAGGATGAGAAAGAAGCTTGGCCAAAAGAGCACATGCCCACAAGGCAAAAGTCGATCATGAGATCGACTCGATACACCTAAATAAGAAACCCTGGATAAGCCAGTTGATCACCTTCTCTAATTATGATCTCAAAGAATCCAACACCCTCATGATGATCCTTTGGTAGTGACTCTAACCATCGCCAACTATTCTGATAGGAGGGTCCTTATTGATAGCAGAAGCTCGACAAAAACCATATGTTCCCGCGCCTTCGACAAACTAAACATAAGTAGAGAACAACTAATATGGATCACTGTTCCGTTGATCGATTTTTTAGGTGAAAAGGCCTACCTACTAAGGGAAATTGTTATCTTAGTCATAACCAAACAAGCTCCTCAACAAACCACAATTATGGTGAATTTCCTAGTACTGGATTGTCCATCCACAAACAATTTCATTTTGAGGAAGTCAACCCTTAACTCTATGAGAGCGGTGACCTCTACTTACCATCTCTTACTTACCCAAACAACAATGGTGTAGGAAAGGTACGTGGTGATCAAATAGTGACTT